TGACGTCCAAAAAAAATTACCAGGCAGCACGCCCTCAGTCCCGGGGTGGGAATAGGTTATTCCGTTTTCGGATCCTAAACTTTAAAGTAGTTTAAGTAACAAATTTGTGACATTCTTATTTTAATTATTTACTTATTGCATCACGTCGACCGTACCAACTGACGACAATTGCGTGGGGGGTGGGGCGGACCCTGATGCGCGTTCGGTCGAGCTCACGGGGGGACATTTCATTTTACGCGTTTAACATGCAATGAATATACACATCACGCTGCGGATTTTTCTTCAGTCTCATGTCCTCTTCGCCCCCCCCCCCCCCCCAAAAAAAAAAACACATCCAGTTTCTACAACAGAGTCCGTAGATAATAATATAGTGCTTAAATACCATTATTATTATTGCACGTGCCACCTCCCCCGCCTGGGCAATGTAGGCCAGGACGGGGGCTCCGCCCCGGCCTAGGCCTGACCAAGCCTATGGTAAGTACACATTTCCTTGCTTCTTACGCTAAGAACTCAGGTTCATTGTTTACTATTATTAAACAAATACGTTGCCAGATATTACAATAATAATTTTTGTGTGCACATAGGAACTCTGGTTTATTGCTTACTATTATGAAACTTATAAGTTGCCGCATATTACAATAATTATGTTTGTGTGCAGATAAGAACTCGGGTTCATTGTTTACTATTATGAAACAAATACGCTGCCAGATATTACAATGATGTTTGTGTTCACAAAACAAAATTTGCATTATTAGCTTGATAAATATTCCCTTTTTTAGCTGTGCTTTTATCACGCTGCGACGGTGTATTGCCAGTCTGTCATGTGCTCTGCTGCCTGCTGATTAATTAACGTCAGTGCACTGCCACTATTATCTACACTGCTAATTTTCCTTTTGACCATTATGAGTGTATGCCAGTCTATAATCTGTTGCCTGCTTCTTTACCTCACTCAGTGTACTCACAGCCTTTCATGTCGACTATATTCTGCTTTTTCAGCTGCTGCCTGTATTGGCAGCTTTTTATGTCGACTGTAGCAATGCTTATGTCATTGAGTCGGCGTACTGCCAGTCTATAATCTAAACTGTAGCCTGCTTCTCAACTTACCTGTGCATACTGCTGCTCTATAATTTACACTGCTTTCTGCTTATTTCTTCAATGCATTTCCATTGTTTCCATTGCTCATGTCACGCTATTTACTCATACGGAGTACTGGGATACTGAGAGCTGTGCCATCATCGGGGATTGCTGTGCACGTCGATGTGTGTGTGTGTGCGAGTCGATGTTTGTGTGTGTTTGAGTCTATATGTGTGCGCGTGTAGGTCCATGCGCGTGTTTAAGTCCATGTCTGTGTCTGTCTTTTACGATTGGACAACGCCCGATGTGTGTGTGTGTACGTACAAGTGTTTGTGTGTCAGTCCAAGTGTGCGTGTCAGTCCATTTGTGTGTGTATCAGTCGCTGTGGGTGTGTTAGTCCATGTGTGTGTACGTCGATGTGTGTGTGTCAGTCCATATGTGTGTTTGTTAGTCCACGTGTGTGTAAGTCCATACATGTGTGTGTGTGTCACTCGATGTGTGTGTCTAAGTCAATGCGTGTGAGTCGATATGTGTGTGTTAATCCATGTGTGTGTATCTAAAGTAGATGTCTGTGTGACACAGTCCGTATGTGTGTCAGTCTATGCATGTGTGTAAGTCCATGTGTGTGTGTCTTAGTCGATGTGTGTGTGTGTGTAAGTACATATGTGTGTTTACGTCAATCTGTCTGTGAGTCCACGTATATCTGTGTGTGAGTCGGTGTGTGTGTGTGTCGCTGTATGTGTCTACGTCCATATATGTGTGTGTAACATAATGTGGATGTCTATGCGTGTGTGAGTCCATATGTGTGTGTGCAAGTCCATGTGTTTGTGTGTGCGAGTCGATATGTCTGTGTGTGTCAGTCCATGGGCGTGTGTGTTAGTCGCTTTGTGTCCGTGGCTCCATGTGAGTCCGTGTAAGTCCATTTCTTTGCGTGTCTGTAGGTAAATGTATGCGTGTGAGTGAATGTGTGTGCTTTATTGACTTGGTCAAGCCCTATGATACCATCAGTAGGCCTGGCATCTGGGTTGTTCTTCATACTTTCGGAGTCCCTCACCCTTTGCTCACGATCCTTAAGGACCTTCATGATGGTGAGCGACCCCGCGTCAAACTACGTGGCCGTCAGTCAGAGCCATTCCCTCTACACCTTGGGGTGCGACAGGGATGTCCTCTGGCTCCCACATTACTTAACATATATTTTGACCACGTAGTTCGTGAAGACTTCAATGGCTGTACCGGAGGAATTACCATAAGATACATATACAATGGGAGGCTGATCGATGCCCGGGTACGGTCAAGGGATGGCTCCCTATAGATCAACCATGTAATGTATGCCGATGCTCTGGTGAATCCTGCTCACTCATAGGAGGACTTGGAGGCACTGCTGTTGAACCTGGAGCTTGGCACTAAGAGGTGGGGCCTTACCATCAGCCCCACCAAAACTAAGCACCTGCCTGGGTATTTTGTACCATCGGACAATCCACCCCCACAACTCACAATTTCTGATGTGGCAGTTGTGGAGAGATTGGAGAGATTCCCATACCTGGCCAGTGTGCTCATGACCAGCTCCGGTTTAACACCAGAGGTCTCACTCCAAATCAGTTGAGCGCTATTATCTTTTCATCGGCTGCGTTCCGCTGTGTGGAAGCTACCTGGTCTCTCGCTCCGCATGAAGCTCTAGGTCTTCTCGGCCACGGTAATTCCCTACCTTCTGTACGGTTGCGAAACGTGCACCCACTTAATGGAACATCTTCGCCGGTTGGAAACATTTAGGCTGGCCTGCTAACGATCCACCCTGGGTTTAACCATATGTGTGTGTGCGTCTAAGTCTGTGTTTCTATGTGTGTGGGTCGATGTCTGTGTGTAAGTCCATGTGTGTGTCTGCCTTTTTTGCCCGGGCAACGCCGGGTACTTCCCGCTAGTATTTGATAAATATCTGATATAAATATATGTAATATGTATTTATATGTAAACACATGTATTATATAAATATATATACATATTTTTATAATTTGTTATATATTCATATAATTATATATGTTTTATATGAATGTTAATTACATGTAAATATAGTTCATGTCAATTAATATGTATACATAAATATACGCATCTATATAAAATGAAATGTAATTATATGAATATATGACGAAATATCAACATATTCATATGAAACTATACATATATATTTCGCAATATATTTAGAAATAAAGATTTAAATGTAAATATAAGCATCTAAAAAACATAATATATAGTGAATATGTACAAGTATAAATATGTATGAGTGTATAAATATATTAATAATTGTTGCTCTATCCGGAATTTGTGTGAGTCGTGTTGACACAAAGCCTGGGGACGACTTTATTGTTAGTTCCCAGTCCCTGTCACTGCGTGAAGTTAACATGTGGTGATGGTAGTTATGGTGGTGGTGGTGGTGATGGTTGTGGTGGTGGTGGTTTTCGTGATGGTTGTGGTAGTGGTGGTAGTTGTGGTGGCTGTTGTGGTGGTGCTGGTGGTGGTTGTGGTGGTTGTTGTAGTGGTGGTGGTAGTTGTGGTGGCTGTTGTGGTGATGATGTTGTTGTGGTGGTGCTGGTTGTGGTGGTTGTTGCGGTGGTGGTTTTGATTGTGGAATTTGTGGTTGTGGTGGTGATTTTGGTGGCTGTTGTGGTGGTGGTTGTGGAGGTCATGTGGTTGTAATTGTGGGGTTGGTTGTGGTGGTTGTTGTGGTGGTTGTGGTTGTGGTGGTGGTTGCTGTGGTGGTGGTTGTGGAGATGCTTGCGGTGGTTGTTGTGGTGGTTGTGATGCTGGTGGTGGTTGTGGCGGTTGTTGTGGTTGTTGCGGTGGTGGTTTTGGTTGCGGATTTTGTGGTTGTTGGTGGTTTTGGTGGTTGTGGTTATTGTGGTGGTTGCTGTGCTTTGGTTGTGGAGGTTGTTGTGGTGGTGGTTGTGGTTGTTGTTGTGGTTGTTGTGGTGGTTAATAGGGTGGTGGTGGTAGTGGTGGTGGTGGTTGCTGTGTTGGTAGGTGTGGAGGTGGTTGCGGTGGTCGTTGTGGTGGTTGTTGTGATTGTTCTGGTGGTTGTGGTGGTAGTTGTGGTTGTTATTGTGGTGGTTGTTGTGATGGCGGTTGTGGTGCTGGTTGTGGTGGTGGTGGTGATTGTTGTGGTTGTTGTGGTTATTGTGGTGGTTGTTGTGGTGATTGATAGGGTGGGGGTGGTGGTGGCTGTGGTGGTGGTTGTGGTGGTGGTTGTCGTGGTTGTCGTGGTGGTGGTGGTTGTCGTGTTGGTTGTGGTGGTTGTTGTGGTTGTGGTGGTTGTTGTGGTTGTGGTGGTTGTTGTGGTTGTTGCGGTTGTTGTGGTTGTGGTTTTTGGGGTGTGTGCGTGGTGACGTCACCACGTCCATGACGCAGCAGCAGACAACTTGAACAGCTGGGACTTTGACGCCTTTTGGTGTTTGGCGCCGTCTCTTTATTTGTTTATTAATTTGCAGATTTAATTTGCTTGGCAGTGGCTGTGTAGAGGATTTGGTCCTCGTGTTTAATTAATGAACAGCGTTTCGGGATGCAGTGAGCACGAATGATGCTGTACACAACGACGTTGTTGTTGTTGTGTTCTGTATTTTTATTGTAGAATCGACGATACAAGAGTTACAATGTCACTGTCGTACGCGTATATTTCTAACTTTTAAAATCAATAACATTATTGTTGTTGTTGTATCTCTCACACGACCCATGACACCAACAGTGTATAAACACATCCCAGTTCATCAATGCTAATAACTGCACCCCACACTACAGTCACACTCCTTTTATCAGGGTGAATACATACACGTTGGCTTCACACACACACACAAAGCAGTACTTTTTTATCACCCCCCCTCCCCCCATGAAGGTTGTGAGGATTGTTTACGCTCAACTCCCCCCCGTTGTGATGGAGAGCCACGCAGCCCCTAACCACCGACAGCCACCGACAGCCACGGGCGTGGCGCTGCATGTGACGGTGACGAGGGTGGCGAGTGCCGTGCGTCGCGGGCGTCTGCCCTCTGCGCTGTTCACGTTCACCTGTCTCAGGACGCATCACTCAGATCCAGAATCCTCACTGAGTCACCACTCCACGCCACCCACAGCCCAGGGTGTAGGGGCTGAGTGAATGTTTGGTGAAACGAGTGCAACAGCGCCATGGAGTCGGCGCTGTAAAACGACAGCAGCCCCGCGTCCCAGTCCAGGTGGACCCCGACTCTCCGCGGAGGCTGCGGCACCGACAGTGACGTCACTACCCGGCCATGTACCACTGAGAAGCTGTCGTTATCTTTCTGTAGACACCAGGAGACGTCACTCAGTCCTAGGAGGCACTTAGCACCACTCCCTCTCCGTGGGATCGTCCCGTACGCAGCTCCAACCAGACACTGCTTCGCGCTCCCCACGTCCACCTCCCAGTAGTGCTGACCCGACGAGAAGCTCTCGGAGCACAGTGCTTGTGACCGGCACTGAAAGCGGTGTGGGTGACGGGGGCGACCCTGGGAGACATCGCTCAGCGTCGCCGTCTTGAGATTCGAGGAAATCTGGAGGTGGTCGCCGGCTGAGTTTGTGTCCAGAGTCGGTGAGCGTCCATCTGTGGTGAGTATTAGTGTACACATACTAATAATAGTTAGTATTAGTGTACACATACTAACGTTAGTATTAGTGTACACACATTGTAATATTATTTAGGATTAGTGTACACATACTAATATTAGTTAGTATTAGTGTACAAACACTAATATTAGTTAGTGTTAGTGTACACATACTAACATTAGTTAGTATTAGTGTACATATACTGCTAATCACTTGTTAATAATTAGTTAATTATAATAAATAATAACTATTAATTAATAAGTGCTACACTCACATGACCATGGGTGTGTGTGCAGTGGTAGTGAGCAGCTGTGATAATGCCAGCACCACAATGTGAACGCCACTCTCACATCCACACACAGACATTGTGTGTCACAGCCTCGCACACTCTGACATCCACAAACAGACATTGTGTGTCACTCCGCTGCTGGGTGAGCGCCTCCCCGCACCGTGCGCATCCTGGGGGGTTATTTGACCATACTTCACCGCTCTCGTCGGTGCTCGATGGCGATGATGGGGACCGTCAAGGTGGAAGCGTAGAGGTGCAGTACAACAATGGTTCATGCTGCACTGCCCTCTGCTGCCCACCCCGTCACAACAGTTAAAAGTTGTTTTCTTTAATTAAATAATATAGATTCCCAAAGCTCTGCCGGGTCCTCCGGTTTTTCCCTCCCCTTGCATCTACTATTTGGCTGCGTCCATACTTGTCCACACGGTGACGATATCAGCCACTTGGTTGATCTATAAGTTGTGATGGCCAAGTCGTTTCTGAACAAGAGCTACACAGCTCAGTGGGGCCTTATCTGGTCAAATACAATGAGTTCATACTCTTTTTTTTTTCGGTAAAGTCACATAGGTAAAAAAAAATTAAAACAACTAAATTAAATCACGACGTTTCGGGCACAACATAAGTGTCCGTCTTCACGTGGGGACAAACGCAGCGAAAGAACAATCGCTTAAGTATGCCTGGTTCCCCCCCCCCCCCCCCCCCCCCCCGCAGTTATATAATCCTCGTCACAGCCATCTGAAGACGGACGCATGTGTTGCACTCGAAACGTCGTGAATTAATTTAGTTTTGTTTTGTTTTGACCTACGTGACTTTACCGACAAAAACAAAGTATGGATCTTTGATGTCACGAAAACTTCAAATCTAAAATGAGTTCAGTCTATGGGTCTCTATGTATCTCTATTTGTCCCTATGTATCTCTATGGGTCTCTAGGTATCTCTTTGAGTCTATGTATGTCTATGTGTCTACATGGATGTTTATGGGTGTATGAGTACCCCTATGGGTGTTTATGTATCTCTAGGTCTCCATTGGTATCGTTATTGTTTTCTACGTGTGACTATGGGTCTAGTATCTGTATGGGTCTCTCAGTATCTATATGGGTCTCTGTGAATATTTGGCAACTGATATAAATGTCAACGGGATGACGATGATGTCAGCCAATCGGTTGAGCTATCATTCGTGACGGCCAGCTCGCTTCTGAACAAGAGCTACTTAACTCAGTAGGTACCTGCACCTGGTGAAATTAAAATACGCTAAATAGGTAGGTCAAAGAGCCCCGCAGCCTTATAGCATCTGCTATGCACGGTGATCACCCATCCCATCACTAGCCAAGCTCAACGCTGCTTATACAGGAATCGACTCCACGTTGTGCAGCGCATCAGCCGCTTTCCCACCACTCCCCCAGTGTGTATACTAACCTTTTAAAATATTAACTTGTGGGTAGTGGGTAAATGAGTGGGGGTTTAGGTAGGTGAATGAGTGGGTGAGTGGGGGTGTGCGTAGATGAGTGAGTGGGTGAGTGAGTGGGTGAGTGAGTAGGTGAGTGGTTGAGTGAGTAGGTGAATGAGTGGGTGTGTGTAGGTGAGTGGGTGTGAGGAGTGGTAACGTAGCGGTATGCACACTGCACTGCGTGTAGCGACCTGGCCACACGTGCTGATTGCTCATCGAAGTGCCAAATACCCCAAGGGCAGATTTCTAAATGTGGAGGGGAAAAAACCGGAGGACCTGGAGAAAAATGAGGATCTTGCACTGAAACTCTGACACCCAGTCAATCATTTACATTCCTTTGTACTTTTTAAAGTCCTGGTTGTGAAGGCTGCCTACGCGATTATGAAACAACTGCAGTCTCCATCCTGCACTTAGTTTTACGTGAACAGTTTAATGCCAATTTGCCCGCAGTGAGCGCCCTAAGTACAATATGTTACTTATCATTTGGCTCTCGTTCGTCTTAATTCTAACCTAGCAGCCACTTTCCTCAACCAACCGTGAACCCACTGCACCCACGCGTGATGGTCAGCGTCTAAATGAGCGTGACAGGACTGGAACTGCTTCGTCCGTAGCTTACAAAGTCGCCCTTTTTCTCTCAAGAAACGCACTGTCACGTTGCTGTTGTTATTTGCAACTCATGATGAGTGAGACCCTTCGTGTTGTTAGCGATCTTTCACCCAGCATCTCGGTGCCCGTTTCATGACCAGGATGCACGTAGATCTCCCTTGCCAATGGGTCACGCTGCATTAATGCACTCAAGCCTGGTTGAAATAAAGGAGGCCCTCCAAATGGGTAGGATTTGTCGGCAATCTGGAGTTTGTAATGGAGTCTAAGGAAGATCGTCGTGGCAGAGGGATGTACCGAGAAAAGGCAGAAGTTTAGTTTGGACGCCGCCCACTGAGATGACTTTTGCAAGGTTCAGACCATGGGAGATGGGGGCTGGGTCATCCTGAGTCTCCTGGGAGACGGTGCTCCTCCTGCACTCACAGCACAGGAACACACAGAGTCTAATGAGGGTCCTTGTCTCTCTACAAACAACCGCCATTCGCCTCTAAGTGTGTGGCACCTGGGTCTGCCCCGTGACCCCCTGCCAGCGGGCATTCGACACTTCACGTGGCCTCATAGTGCACTTGGCCTGGCACAGGCCACCGGGGAGACAAAAGCAGCGGGCCATGACGCTGGGCACCCACCCCCTCGTGTGCCACAGTGGTGGCCATCTTGGGCACTGCTCGCTGAGAGAACTTGCCCCAAACATCCTGTGAAGGCTACATGGGGGGATTGTTGTCGTTGGGGTGTCTTTGTGTGTGCATGCGTGCCCTGTTTGTTGTAGTGACTCATTGCCCCCCTTCCGACCACAAGCTAGCATCAATGTAAGTGAACATGAATTGTTTTCTATTTATGTTATTTTATGTTTAATTGACTATACTGCAAAATGTTTACAGTGTTAGATTACAAATGTACAACATTCTTAATTATGAGTTTAACAATGCTTCCCTCTGTTTAACCGTAAGACAATTTTACAACCGTGTTGGGATTTAAATATGGTGCATTATTGTTTTCCGACTTACGAACGAGTCTCATGAATAAATGAGGTGTGTAACCCGAGGACTTCCTGTAGACCATATGGGATACGACTTCATACAATGGGGTGTATTAGGAATTACATCACGACCGTTAGCTGATTTGTCCACCAGGTGGCAGACTGAGCTCGAATTTGAGTCTGGGTTGGTACTGACCTGAGACTCTCATGCAGGGGATCCTGAAAAACACAAACCCGCATTTCACATTAACATTGACATAAACAGATGCCCCACCTCCACACAGTCACCTGCCGCTTATGATGGAGTGCGACATCAGGGAATTAGCAAATATCTGCACACTGAGAATGGTGAAAAACAGGGTTAATTTAACTGGACACGGACGGACGTCTAAAAAATACAAAACCACTCTTTACAGGTCTAGTCCATCGCCTACACGAGTGGTCTAATAACAACTCACGTGTTGAACTCTGAATAAACTTAACGTTTTAAAATTGTTAGCAGGTAAATCCCACTGAGCTATGTCACTCTTTTTCAGAAGCAACCTGGCTATCACAAATGACAGCTCAACGAAGTGGCTTATCACGTGGGAAATTTATAGTCGCTGCCTAATACTCTGAATGTATGATGTTGATTATAAATGTGGAAGAAAAAAATCAGAGGACCCGGAGAAAAATCTACGGGACAATGGGGAGAGAAAAACGCAAAGTCTAAATATACAGCAGGCTTCGTTAGTGTCGGGGTCAAACCCACGAGCTCCTGCACAGCAGGCGAGGTAAATGGCGATGTTGTACTGGACAAGTCCAGGCCTGAATGTCACATGGAAGCAAGCGCGCGTGTATTCATGGACACCACCGCTTGCTCCCATATCACTGAAATAAGAATGCCAACAATGTCAACGTCTCACAGGGTGCTGCGCCTCTGCTGGTTGTAGATTAACCCTCTGAAAACCCAAGGCTATGAGTATAAACTATAAACATAGTTTTTTATACCTTACCAGGTAAGGCCCACTGAGCTATATAGCTTTGGTTCAGAAGTAACCTTGCCACAAATGATAACTCAAAGTGGCTTATTGTGTGGAAATTTATAGCAGCAACATACTCTAAACGCGTGATGTTGATTCTAAATTTGGAGGTGAAAACCGGAGAACCTGTGAAAAATCCACGCATGCACGAGGAGAGAGAGAGAGAGAGATGCAAACTCCGAATATACAGCAGACATCAGGGTTGTTATCGAACCCACGACTTCCTGCATAACAGGCGAGGTAGTTAACATCTAGCCACCGTGGCGAGTGAATGGAGGTGGTGCCACCTGCAGGAAGGAGATCGGGTCCTGCACGGCGAGGGTGGCGAGCAGCTGGTTGATCTCCTGCTCCAGGCCGCATGCTCTGCTCTCGTAGCGAGCGATGTCCGCCTGGATGCGGGACAGCACAGAGCGGCCCTCCTCGTCCACGCGCTCCAGCGCCTCCCTCTCCTCCGCCGTCAGCTGCTCCCTCCTGCGCTCAAACTCTCGACTGATCCGCTCCTTGGTCCCACGCAGAGACTCCTACGCAGTGATACGATGACGCGCTCTTGAAATGCAACACGACACAGTGCGATGTGACATCATGAAGGACTTCGACACGGCCACGTCTCATAACTCCGTACATTAAGGCGGGTGACTTTAATTTTTGAGAACGTCGAGTAATTAAATGCATGAAAGGAGGCGATTTAGTGAGGATATTCATGGGGACTCAAGCCAAATGCTAAGTACCCGTATAGTTTGCGTGTTTGTCTGTACCTGTACGTGTCTGTGTGTCTCTCTGCACCTGCACGTGTCTGTGTTTCTCTCTGTACCTGCACGTGTCTGTGTGTCTCTCTGTACCTGCACGTGTCTGTGTGTCTCTCTGTACCTGCACGTGTCTGTGTGTCTCTCTGTACCTGTACGTGTCTGTGTGTCTCTCTGTACCTGCACGCGTTTGTAGGCACGCTTGAGCTGCTGTATCCGTGATTCTGCCGTAGTTTTATTTTCCTCTCTCCCCGTCTTCTCGAGTCTGAACGTCTCCTATACATGGGGTAGACAAATACATGATGTTTGGTACCCCCATCATTATCATCATCAAGTGGTCCATGTCTTTAACCCAGATCCTTGCAGGCCAGTTTCGTGGATCGCCCAGCGATAATCATGACCATTTGAATCTTTCAACCTCCCAGGTTGTGAGGTGGTCTTTAGCAGGCAGCACAACAGCCGTGTCTGAGGTAGGCGGCTGGATGATAGCGTGGTGTATTGAGGAATCCCCACTCCCACGCTCGTGTTTTCTACAGTTTTTCCCAACAATGGAATCTCGCGGAACCGACAGCCATAACCCCCCGAGATATCTACAGCACACACTTTGCGTGACAGTGCGGTAAACACCTAAACTTAAATCCGAAATATTACAGGAAACCAAGCTGAGTGCCAGAGCGGTATTAGGGTACAGACAGCTCTGGTGCTGATAGGGCTGCTGCTGGGGCGTATTGGGACAAGTTGGACAGGACTCAGGGGGGGGAGAGCCATGGGACCAGGTTCGCAGTACGCTAACCACTACACCACTGCTCCCCAAAGCAGAACAACCGCACACTCATATCACAGTTTAAACATTCCTAGAAATGCAGTGTATGTGATAATAGTAATTTAAGGAATATTGCTACAAGTTAATATATGCAGATCAAGTTTAACAAGTAGGCTTTGGCGACCAATATTATTCATAAGAGATTTTTTTTTTTGGGTTAGGTCATGTAAATAGAAATGTGTTGTTAAACCCGCCACCACCCGACTCGGTCAATTAGTAAGGTTCATCACGTAAACACAACGTGCCAATTAGTGACTAGTTCAGCACCACCGGTGTGTTGGAAAGTAAACCCACAATATTTACAATTCGAGGACCATGACGTTTTGCCTCACTTCTAATTACAACCAGCATCATCAGGCGACAGCCAGAATTGAATATGCAGAGTAACATTGTCAGTATTAGGAAACACAATTATGTAAATATTAACACAATCATATTAACACTCTAACGATAGAAGAATATTAGCAGCAGCAACGACAACAAAAACAACAAATACATCCATAGTCATGATGATGATTATTATTGACTTGAATATTCTTCATTGTGATGTTTGACTTAAGCTGTCCCCATTTGATTGCCTCTGGCAGGGCCTGACACTGGCAAGATTGAGTGCTGTGAACGTGAAGCTCTGCCCACGTCAAGTCCCACGCAGTCTCTTAGCTGTGTGGCCTTAGTCTCGCACTCTGTTGCCCCATTTCACCTGCCAATAAAAGCGTGGCAGGCTAAATGCTCTGGTGGTTGGCCAAGCTTCACCGTGGTAGTGCTCAACCACAATCCACTGTTTTGTTGTGGAATGCCAATACACGGCGTCTATGTTAGATGCAGGGTGGAATTTTAGGTACCAAACATTGCAACAGAATCAAATCTAAATCTGGCCTATGGACAATCAAACCGTGCCTGGCGGCCTGTCTCTACCACGGGAATGGCTTCTGATTTGCCTCCTTTAATTTCATGGTCAGTGCACTTTTAAGCCGTCTCACGTTTGAAGTATTTCGTGTTAGTCCACACTTCTCTCCAACCATTATTGCTACTCACAAGTACGAATCTTACCACGTGAAATGTATTTTACAACTTTACCAGCAATGTTACAAAGTGCTTTGTCTTCTAGCTAAACCATGGGATACCCTGCTTTGCTAAACATTCAAACCAACATTGCCGTCTTCCGTGTCTCTGCTGTCTACCGTGTGCCAGTTTTACAATCTGTTGCCCAAAGTGATTTGATTGACCGGCACAATGCTGGAACAATAGGAGTTACCTAATAATATGCAAATCTGAATGATAAAATACAGACCCTCTATCTGAACAACACACACACAGAATGCTGTAGTCACATTGAGGGATATTGGGTTACAGCAGCGATTTATATCTCACCTGTTTTGTCCGTTGTGCATTTTCCACTGGAATGAACGCATGCCCTTTATGTCCCCCAGCGATGGTGCAGACAGTGCAGACCAGGCTCTCATCTTGTTCACAGTAGAACTTGATCTGCTCCTGTCTGTGCTGCTGGCACCGTCGCCCATCCAAGTTCGCGATAGGATCCACCATGGCGTGGTCTCTCAACCTAGGATTCTCTACATGAGGCCTCAAGTGCGTTGCACAGAAGGACATCTCGCATCTCAGGCAGGTCTTCACTGCAGGAGTGTGGCCATCACCGCAGATGTCACACACGACGGCCACGGCCATCCCGTCTCCAACTCTGATCTGCTTCCCCAGGTTGGCGAGGGCCACGTTCCTCCTCAGCTGGGGTCGCACAGGGAAGGTCGCTCGGCACTGCGGGCAGCTGAAGCTGCTCGCCGTCTCCCAAGGCGGCCTCCAGGCACCGCAGGCAGAATGAGTGTCCGCAGCTCAACGTGGAGGGGCAGACGAACATGCCCAGGCAGATGGAGCAGCTCACTATCCACACTCTCACTGGGAGTCGCGCTCGCCATGACTCATGGCTTCGCTGGGATCACTCGCTGTGTGGATCAGAGAGACCCTGGACCAGGACCTCTCTCTTATAGCGACGGTGAAGAAGGAAGTAAAATACTTAAATATTTTCATTGTCGTCACTGACATCACGAGACACTGCTTGGAATGTGAACCCATGTGCAGCGTGTTGAGGCACAGCGTGGTGCGATGCACAGACATCTTGGCAGCTAGACAAAGCCTGATGGCTGCTCTTCAAGGTTTATCAGGAGAACCAGAAGTTAAATTCCCTAAGTCGAGCCCATTGAGATAAAACGTAATTTTTAAAGGGGGTTTTAACTGGCAGACATCAACGCATTCCACAAGTACACAAAGACAAAGATGTCCTGTATAACCTTATCAGACTGTTGGGGCAAGTACTGTTAGCGAGCACATACGAAGACCAGCACTTAACACAAGGGGGTGGGTGCCCAGCACCACGCCCGGCCGCCTTTGTCTCTCTAGTTTTTACGCACCACACCAGGAAATAATTTGAGGCTGAGTTGACCTAGGGGATGCCCAGCACCAGTTCAGATAATCGTCACTGGTGTTGGCCATGAGCGGGAATCGAACCCGGGTATCCAGGTTCATAGGACAGCGCCGGAACGACCACAATTACACACCCACTCACACACACTCTCCCACGCACTAATACACCCACTCACTCATCCACCCTCCCACTCACCTACTCTTACACACACTGCAGAATCAGAAAAATCAGAAGTTTACTTCCCTGACGAGAGCCCACTACGAACCTGCAGATGAGACCAAGTTTTGTCTTTGGTGGTTTGGCCCTCCCCAACTCTCTGCCCAGCACGAGAGACTCGGGCAACCAAAATGACAATGTAAAACTGAACAGAACAAGTAGCAGTTCTACAGAAATTAATTTGTCAGTTTTGATTATTTAAAAGTGCAAAGCTCTGGTAGCTTTCTGACTGAACCGGATCAGTCTTGCACTCAGGTGACAGCGGGTGGGATGCGTTGTGCATGGCTTGTACGATTGGCAGAACCAGCGAGACCTGTATTTCTGTATGGGGGTGTTTTTGTTGCAATCAAGTTGATGGGTTGCATTTTGAAGGCATTTTTTTTCAATCTCCATGATGCTCATTCAAGGTTTGTTTTGCCATACTTCAATCGGCACCCTGGACACCCTCTCCTGTGTTGTATATCTCGGGTCTTGAAAATGTAATTTAAAAACTAAATTAAAATTGAGAAATGTGTAATTTTCCGAAACTATGCACATTTATGTAATTATGCAAAAATGTATGCTATTCATGGAGGTGTAATCATATTAAGTTATGCAAGTGTATGATTATGCTAATGCATGCAATTATGCTAATTAGGTTCTGCCTCGTTGTCCAGGGTTGTATTATCAATCGGGATAATACAATGATTCTCGCATTAACTTTTACTGATTATGTCTTAGTGTGTTTTATATCAGGTCTCAAAATTCAGATCTCGCCGCAGGATACAGTTCTTATAATTAAGATCATTATGCATGAACTTAGGAAGGCACCACTCAGGCTCTTCTGTGTCAAGCAACTTCAATTTCTGAACAAAAACATAACACTCTAATAAGCGAACTCTTATTATATTCATAGCTCTTTCGGTAAAGTCACGTTGAAGGGAAACAATAAAATAATAAAATATATATGAAACAATTATTTAATTGTTTCCCTTCAACGTGACTTTACCGAAAGAGCTAAGAATATGAATTACTGCAGTTACGAAAGCTTTAAATCAAAATTTAAAGCGAACTCTTATGCTAGGATTGTCAACACAGTACTCCTGGAGATGTCCTCCTCATTGATCCGTACATTTAACCCTCAATGATCATGTTTGTTAAACTGGGTAACAGAACAATCGGTTAATTCCTCAGAGTAAAGCGAGCGTACACAGCAATAGGAAAAGTCCTTAAAAAAATAATGTGACAATATTCATACAACAGCAACAAAGGAACATGTGCCTAAAGCAAGAGTACCGTATTGTCCTGCAAAGAGCCCACGTACGCATATAGCCCGCAGACGCATATAGCCCGTAGACTCATATAGCCCGCATACGCATATAGCCCGCATACGCATATACCCTGCAAAAATAGCGTTTTGTGAAAAACAAATGTCAGCCCACACCTCCATACACCCCGCATGCATTAATATCTTTAACGTCGTTACCGCAGCTTAATTCCATCATTAATACGAAGTTTACATTTGTAATACATTTTACTATCAATTGTTAACATTAAAATCATAACGTGCACAAATAAATAAAAAACCGGAAACGAGTGAACTTAATACAGTAATTAAGTAACAAAAGTAAATGTCCAATAAATAAGTAGCATATAACTGGTAGATAAGTACAGTTTTAGCACTGGTAGATTGCGCACTGCACAGACAATAGCGGCACTACGGTAACGCCATTGCCTCGCCCCCAACACCCCATCTCTCTCTCCCCCAAGATCTCCCGTCGCCGGTAAACAAAGTGCGCCCACTTCAAACATTGTCGAATCATTGTACAAACAATTCGAATCATTTAAAACTTGATAACATGTGCAATTTTAGTGTGAGTGGTTTATTCAGCAGTGCTTTAGTCAAAGGTAAGTGTTGCATAGTGGATAGTCCTACCATGAAAAAAATGAGTTATGACATGTCACGTGTAAAATATTTTTGGGGTAGCCCGTACCTCCATATACCCCGTAGGGTCTTGTTTTGTTTGTAAAAAGTGGTATACCCCGCGGGTTATATGTGGGAAAATAGGTAGTTATCAATGAATTCATTGTCAAGATTATGCAATTAACGAAAACGAATGACTAAAATACTTCTAAACAATCGTATTCATGTAACTAGACGGGCAGCGATACTTTTCACTATCAACCTGCTATTTAACGCACCATCTTAGAATGGCAACCGTTCTTGAAACATAAAGATAACTTTTTGGAACAATCTTATTAGTCCCAATACGCGTGTTATGAGTGTCATCTTTGCCACTTGTTGACTTGACGTCTTTCGCGGTACGGCGTTCCTTGTGTTGAAAATACCCCAGGTTCCCAGCAGGGCTGCTGGGACGGTGTGTGTGCGTGTAACTGTGTACGTGTGTGTTTGTGTATTGAACACACGGCGCTCTTGCCTGCGCCAACACTCTTCCTCTTGTCGTTGCCAGCTCTCTCCACTGCTGGTTGGTTGAGTTGGCGCGATGCTCGCCGATGGCGAAGCACATGATTCCGTCGTCAGATAGCGCTCGCATCTCGTCCGCTGGTCACCGTTCCTCACTCTTGTCTTGGTTCCCAGCTGGTGCTTCTCGGTGTGTGTGTGGGTCGAACCCATGGCGCTCTCACCGGGGCTGACACTCTTCCTCATGGGCGGCTGGTCAGGCTCTTTCCCCTGATCTGTGCTCTCTCCTTTATCGTGCAGCTGCCAGCTTCACACGGACACCCGCCCTTACTTCAGGGCTGAGCTGGCTCAGGTTATTTCCACTGCTCTGCTCTCTCTGGCGATGCATGATGGCTCTCGTTGCTCGTCCGCAGGTCGCTGGTGCCGACATATCTTGCCCGGTTGCACTGGTTGAGCGCTCTCTTCTGCTCTGTGCTCTCTGGCGGTGCACGATTGTGCTCGCAGCTCGTCTGCTGCTGCTGGTCCCCTGCAATGCTCGCTTGGTCGATGCTTGGCGTGTTCTGCCCTTTCTCCAGGTTGATTGCTTGTCGTTGGTCGTCACTCTTTCTCTCACTTTCTCTATTGCTCGCTCCTTGATCGTACAGCTGCCAGCTTCACGCTGGCATTTAGTGGTGCCTCTCCCACCCTTCTTTCAGGGCTTCACATTGTCGTTGCTAAACTTCCGTGCTCTCCGTCCTTCTTCCAAAAGGGCTCCTGCTGTGAGCTGCTCGTCGCTGGCTGGATCACTCACTCTCAAAACTTGTAAATTCTATTAGCACACCTCTTACACAACTCTGATAGCTTAGTACAATACAACTTATCTCAATCCTTGACTCTGCAAGCGACTAAAAACATCAGGATAAATGTAGAATTAAACGTTCAGCGCTACTCTGTCGGTCCATGCCGAACTCAGCTCTTCACAATACACTGTCCCTTGTCTCTGCAAGACACGACACCCATGGTTGATCTCGAGGCCATGCCCCGGAGCCTACCCCTTGCAAACTGAGTTTCGTGATCTGTGTCCTTGCTTATGTGTGAAATTCTCTCCCCTCTGCGTGTCTCTTGCGAAAAAAAACAGATGCCCTCTGTCTCGTTCTCCTCCCGTGGCCACAACTGCCTGGTTGCCCCCCCCCCCTTTTGACCTTTGGCTCTCTGCTTTCGATCACCATGTTTTTGTTTGCACCCCCCCCCCTCTGCCTTCGTGGTGTTTGCTATCTCAAAGGGGAGGCACCCTCCCTTCATACGTATTTTATTGCTACTATGTGTTGTGTCAAATTGTTGGAACACAAAGGCGGCCGGGAGGCTCTGATTCCATGGAATACATATTATCTGGTCTTGTGTGTTTGACCTACATATTTTCCTTGTAACTATTTTGCGTTTCCCTAGATCTAATACCTCATTATTAATATTTGGTTTATGTTTAACCAAGAACTGTAATGTACCGTTAGTTGTTACCTCCAGTATTTCAAGGGTTTTATTAACCTTTGCTCCCTGTCTGTATCCAGGGATCCGTGCTTTTTATTCTTGAATTATATTTTGATATCCTGAGGTTAGAGATGTAACTAAGTTTTCACTTAAGCTTTCTTGACTGCCGGAATTCATATTCCTTGGTTCTTTTGGTAAAGTCACATAGATAGAAAGATACAATAAGAAACAATATATGGGGTGAATAAGGGTGAAATAAAATAAGTAATAATAAAAGCCACTAATGTAGACTGCAGTCCAGAATGTCGATTTATTATTGCCGCTAAGTTTCAAATTTTTACCATAAAATAAAACGCCAGTTGTAATGTTGCTTTGCCCCTGCTCTGTGTCTGTGTCTGGATATGTTTGTGAAACTGTCCAAAACGTCCGCGGAGGTGAGACTCATGATCCCCCGTACCGTGCAGATTTTTCCAGATCGTCGTTAACCTCTCTTTGCCCCAGAGTTTATTATTTAATGGCTCTCTATGGCCTCTTCCCTCGAGTTGCTTTTAATGTGGCAAGGCAGCTGGGTGTGAGGGGTGGGGTGTGCATCACCCTTTCATGCCCCATGCTCACCCCGATTGATAAGTATTTTAAAAATGTATATATTGGCAGAATTTTTCGTAATATAAATTTTTGGGAAAAGGCCTACATATACACAACACCTGCTAATGAGATTCCACCTCGAGGGACATTTCCCAGGTGAAATATTTGAATATTGTTACTATACCCACTGCTTTGAGAATGGTGGTCTACAAAGCGCAGTAAACTTGCATCGGGGCCAAAAACAAGTCGGCTCAGCTTGTACCAAATGAAATTACATCCGTTAAGGAGCACAGAAATACGCGATGGGAGCAAATGTAGTTCCAACAAGGAGAACTCGCTCACCACTTGCATCCCAATTTGATTGTTTTTCAACGGTTTAACTACGTATTATTATTTATTTGATTTACGACGTGTATATTTCTCACGCTATATATTAGTTGCGTATGGTTGCACTTTATTTTGCCCATTCAGCGTTAGCCGCTGCGGTCGTGACGGGATTTTCTTCTTGTTCTATTCCCTTCATGTTTTATTTTTCCAAATTCCCAAAATTACATTGCAAATTATTTCCCTTTTTTTTACCAGGTAAGAGCCACTGAGCTATTAAGCTAATTCTATGAAGCAACCTGCCTAGCACATATAATAGCACAACGAAGGCTTATAATGTGGAAATTTACAGCAGCCAATTACTCTGAGCATTTTTTTTATTCTAAATATGGAGTGAAAATCCTGCGGAAATCAGAGAGAAATCCACATGACCAGAGGGAGTGAGAGAACACGCAAACACCAAATAAACAGGCGTCAGGGTCGGGATCGAACCCACGACCTCGTGCATACCAGGCAAGGGAGTTAACGTCTCACCACCACAGCGAGATGTTATCTCAATTGTGATTGCACACAGCAGCTGCAATCATCGCCTGCTACTGGCAGACTCCTTCACAAGTTTACGCTTGCAGATGAGACTCATTCTGGTCTCTCCAGTTCTCGGCAGGTTAAACCTTGAATACCTATTCACGTACCCACCTGGTGACAATCAGAAATACATGAAGGGGGTTACCGAGGTACAGTTGATGAGGAGGGTTCCAACAATATTTTAGGCAGGGGACAGGTGAAGTTGCCTGAATAGTTCCAGATATTATGGGTAAAGAGGCTACGAGAGTAGCCACCAACCTAGATTTACGTAGACACCCACACGTGCACAGACCCATAGAACAGACCGAGTCTCCAAGATACACTCAGAGGAACCCGTAGACTTGTGGAGACCCGTTGACGAACACTGCAGTGGAGCAGCAGCGCATGCTGGGAGCAAGGAGATATTGGAGTGGAAAGAGAGCGCTGGTGGCAAGGGTGGTTGGTTTCACTCGGATCGCTCACTGTGTGGCGATGGTAAAGAAGGAAGTAAAATTCTTAGAATATTTTCATTGTCGTTATTGGCATGATGAGACTGCCTGGAATGTGAACCTGCATCCCATGTGCACAAACACAATGCACACGGCTACTGTACTCAGCTGTTGGGATTTAACTTCAATAATATCAAATGTTGATATTAACATAAATCAAAGAGGCTCAGCTGCGAAAGCGCATTCGTGAGATGAGAATCAAGAGATAGACTCATCCTTTCACAGCTCGGTGCACAAGTCGGTGTCTATGGTAAGACAGAGCAATGGATTGTGTGCCACAGTGGAGAGATGTTATCTTCCTCACCTGGTGTACAGGAGGATCTGGGTTTTATCTGATGCTGGCTGTATGTTTGGAGTTTGCGTCTCTCTCTGCGTGGTCGCGTGTATTTTTCTCCGGGTCCTCCAGTTTTCCCTTCACATTTAGAATCAACATCACAAGTTTAGAGTACTTGGCTGCAATCCATTTACACCTGATAAGCCACTTAATTGCGCAATCATTTGTGCCAGGTAACTTCTGAAAATGAGCTCATTGGTCTTTACCCAGTAAAATAAATTGTAGTTGTAGATATTACGTGATGTTCTGTAATTCCATCTCCGCGTAATTTTCCCAATGTAGTGAGTTGCTTGAATGTCATTGTGGCATCTGAGATGGAATTTGTCACAGACTTCCGTGACCCATCATGGAATCTTAAGGTTTTTGCTTGAAGTGTGAATTTATCACCCATTCTACCTTCATCCAACACCCACTGTTTGCGATGTCACCGTATCTCACGTTGTCCGAGACTGGAGATTCCCGTGCCGACTAATCACCATTCACAGCCTCACCGACTGCTTATAGCAAGAACGGCAATCGGCGTTCACCATTAAGTGGCACCAATATCACAATGACGCTTGGTGACGTCACCATCGCTATCCATTCCCCCCACACACAGTTTAACCCGTTTGTGCTATTGTCGTCACGTCATGAAATTAGTGACTCGAGTGTTTATCCCTTCGTAGAGCAGTGTTAGAGAACGGCCCACGGAAGTAGACATCAAAGAGCCACCTCTGAGAAACCTTCAAAGTGGAGACCTATGGTCCACGGGCACAGTAGAAGGCAGACGTTTTTCCATTTTTCTTTTACTTCGGGGAGATGGAATGTAGTCGAGTTACGTGGCGAAATCCTACATGATGGGTATTTTTGTGCAGTTATTGGTGACTGTACATAGCGGTCTAGAGTCTGCCTTATATTTACACACCAATGGTATATTAGAGTATGAAATGGCATGGCAAACACTAAAATCATACAGATGGTAAATATTTCACAAATAAAAAATAATTTAGTTGAATAACATCCAATAAGTATGCTGTGCTGTACTCACGAGTGCATTCTACTGCACTGCTCCAACAAGGCGGCGACAGCGGCGGGAGACGCGGCTGGAGGTGCTGACCGCTGCTGCGCTCCCAGTCCCGGATCCTAGCGAGGCCCTCAGTCGACATTTCTGTGACGGGGATTCTTTTAGGTGGTGCCCGAGACTCTGCCCTGGTCTCGTGACGACTCACCAGGCTACACGCACCGTAATCACATTGGGTAGAGAACGTCTAAATAATATATTGTTTTAATAAATCGTTACCACGAATCATGATAATCAAATCGTGTGGGGGATGTAACTTATTGATTGAGAGCATACGACGCTCTCATTGGTCGAGCGAATGATGGGGGCGGGTACATTTACTCGTCCAGCTCTGCTGTGTATTCTCACTGTTAGAGACTTTGTAGTTTTGTTGATTTCATTTATTTGTATTATTACACACTTTTATTTAACTCTGTCTGTTGTTGTTGTATCCTCAAATCTTGTAACTAAATTTTTACCCATTTCCCAATGTGGTATCGACTGCAAACTTGGTATACTTATGTCATTCTGATGGCAAGACTATATTCTATCATAAAAAATAAAAATAGATATTTTAAAACAATTTTTTACACGCTTATTTTATTTACTCACTCTGTCTGTTCTTGTATCCTCAAATCTTGTAACTCAATTTTAACCCACTTCCCAATGTCAATTGGTGTTAGACCAGATGACGCCAAAAGGCGTACATCATCATCTGGTCTAGCACCAATTGAGACTAGGCTCTAAAGAAAGCTGTCTCAGGTGTGGACCAGTCAGTTTCAAGGACAAGGTTTCAGTTTTGTTGCCAGAAAAAAGGGGAAAAACGCTATTATTATATTTTGATACTGGCAAAGGAGGTCCAATGATGTAGAATCTTTTCTACATGTTATGTTTCGGCTTGAGTCTAATTGTCCACGCTCAACTCATGTTGGCTGTAAATCACCACGGGTCCCTTACGTTGTGGCAAGCTTCGGGGCCACTTCCTGGAGTCGTGGACTTCTGCCATTACTCGTACGGTACAATTCATTAAAGCGTGTTTAAAAAAAAAGTGTTTTCAAATATTACTTGTCGTTGTTAAAATGTTCTCCGGTGCAAAGAGCACTACAACGAATCGGCGTTCTACGGGGGTCGCGCTCAGCAGGTTCTGTCGGTATCTCTGCTGTCTCTAAACCAGCTGAAGCCTCCCACGCATCACGCGACTTGTGTGTGGCCACCCCGACTCAGAACCCCTCCGCTCTCATATGTCAATCTCTATCTCTCTACCTCAGTGGTTCTTAACATTCACTGCAGCCTTGCACCCCTTTGGTTCTCAATCGTTAACACAATTACAATGTTAATTAATAAATACATAGAGTTTGATGAAACACAGCAGTTGTGCTTACGTACCTGTACTTAATTTGTTTTTTATTTACCTTAATAAAACCTGGCCATGTCTCGCACCCCATGAGATGCGTGATGTTTTTTTGTTTGCATTTTGACCACAAGTATTATGGTTAATGCAGACATGATTCCTCGTAACATGTTTCAGTTTTGTTGCCATAAAAAAGGGAACAACACGATTTTATATTTTGTTACTGGCAAAGGAGGTCTAATGATGTGGACACACTGAATGTCAAAGCCAATGCAGAATCTGCTCGTATAATTATCAATGCTACTGACATGTGACTCTCCAAGAAGGTAATGGGGCTTGGTGAGTTCAGTAATAAATACAGTTGTTTTTGTTTGTAGGGACTGATATATGAAGGCAGTGGTTCCTAACCTTTACTGCAGCTTTGCACCGATTTGGTTATTAATCGTAAAAAAAATGTACAATATAAATAAATACATAGGGGTTGATGAAACAAAGTAGTCACGTTACTTACGTGTCTGTTCTTTATTTGTGTTTCAATTATTTACCTTCCAAAAAACCTGCCACGCCTCGCACGTCCAGAAAGGGCATCTCGCATCTCTAAGGGATGCATGGAACCCAGATTAAAAACTATAATTATATTAAGGGGTCGTAGTGACTGCTTATCTATATTGTTACTTTTAATCTTCCGTTTAATCAAATAAGGCGAGGAATCTGGTGCCGTCTGCAAGCGATGATTTTTCACGCTAAAGCTCTTAGTGAGGGGGCCAATACGAGATGCATAGGTCGTGAACGGCACGAGGCCGAGGTCAGAATCGTGAGAGACTCTGCAAGGGAGCTCGGTTTCCGCAGACAAAGACTCCACGCTTTGACCGATAAACTCCGGCAGCCTGTGCAGTCGGACGTCATCTACTGTAGGGCTGGACCGCTGATCAGGAAGTGACATTCCAGGAGGCCAATGAAGGGAGGAGAGTGGCTAACAGTGACCATGGTGAAGAGATGTCAAGGCTAATCTGGTGATGCAAGTTAAATATCTGGCCACATCTAATAACATTGAAGAGTTGATCACTAAATGGGTCTCGACCCCACTTCACCAACCCGGATTGTATTTTATGCTCTAATTGTATATATCGCGAGAAAGCAATTTTCGTTCATTTTAACGTTCAAATGCCCACACCCCCTCGTATTCCAAGTGCATTGTCTTCGGTTAGGCTGCATCTGGATAATTCTTGAGAGACGTGACGGTCAACACGTAGCCCAACCCAGACAACCACACGTGGAGCATTTGCATATGATGGGGCTTAGTGCACCTCATTCATCGAGTAGACAATGACAAAAAACATCTGTAAATTCAGGGACATCTAAAAAATGTCATGCAGACTTCAAGAAATATCAGGAAAGAAGCATGGATACTATGTATGTTGAATTTAGTATATCTGTGTTTTTAGGCAGTTTCGATTGCATTTGAGACGATAGACTACCCTCATTTTGTCCCCAAATAGCCTGAAACATGTCACGTGATTTGTTTGCTTTTGTTTAAAGCGCACAATGGAATGACAACTCTGCTTAAACTATTCGCATTTTAGCTGTTCAAGACATAAGGCGCTCACGTTTGGAATGCTGGTGAGCCTTGTGCCAGTGTTCGCTGAATCATTCCACTTCTAGTTGGTCTCCAAAGGTCGCAGGTATTTTAAACTTTAAGCGGCCTGTCAGTCCTCAACGTAAAACAAACTTCTTATTTAACTTGTAGATTTAGAATTCTTATTATTTGATGACACCGCGTTGGCAGTTGTGCCCAAGCAAAGATAACAAACTCTAAACACATTCGTCGACAATAGCCAGATAATAGAAAACATGTAACTGGTGTACGTTTCAGGCATATCCCAACTGTGTTTAAGAATAATGCCAATTGCTATAAACGTTGCTTATCGTGTGTATACATGCATTTACTTGAATGGCTGTGATATTGATGAATATGTTGAGCTGATTAGAAAATCGATGAAGATGATTACAATTCGTAGACCACGCGCACAGACTGAAGAGGCTTCACCACCACTTTGATCAGCATCACTTGGTGGGGCCCACCTGAGTGGAAGCCTTTTGAGGGGGTGGTTGGTGGAATATTTGTGAAACTGAAAAGTAGCTGAGGCGGCAAAGTAGCCAGATGTTGTACATGAAGTGGGTTCGTTAAACCTTCTGTGTGGCCCTATAAGTGCCTTGCTTCCGTCTCAGTTATTTTACGGTTGCTAGGCTGGACATTGATGTGGGTAGAACAGGGTAGAGCAGAACAATCTAATGTTGTACTGCAACATGTACCTCTGTCTATAGATCCCACGTCTACCACCAACCCGTACTGTCTGGCGTGGTGAAGTTTGCTCCAAGCAACCCCCACGATCCGCACGGCCTGTGGACACTATACATTATTTATTCTGAGTAACTGCGTGCGTTGCAATGGGTGGCTCGTAGATGATTAGCTCCGTCCATAGCAGAAATACCCAACTTTACTGATCTCTCTCGACATTTTATCCCTTTAAACTCCACCAGCTAAAGCCTTCAGTTGTTTTGTTGTCATTCATAAACTTCTCTGCAGACTTTCCAACCACCCTCTTCTTTCCCTCCAACAACGAACTGTGCTGTACCTCCATAGCACAAGCTGTGGTGATGCGTGCCTGAAATCCAGCACTGGATCCATTGAGGAGCGAGGCATCCCATGTAATCCAGTTGGATCACTCCCTTCCCCCTGGGCACTGAGGTCACCATACCCTGGCGTGCCAGCAGATGGCAGTACAGCAAGTGGACTCATCTCCACCTGCTCCATCGCGTTAGATGTGTCTGTGTACTCAGGTTCATCATCAACGTCTTGCTTGTTGTTTATTTTATTCTCCTCCTCCACTCGAGCAGCTGCGCTGTGAGCAACTCAGCAGCATTGCCACTCACGACCCCCCACGTCCATTCTAATTGACGTGCGCACACTCCTTCACTTTGATGTTGTAGCTCGTGTGCCTACATGCAGAGGGTTCTGTCACACGTGGTTTGTTTGAATTCAAAATAAAATACTTTCTCGACAGCAGTGATTTCCCCCGTACTTTACGTGTTGTACAATGGATGAGTGGCGATCGCGCGAGTGAATAAGTTCATCCAAACCGCACCGGGATTGTTCACACCAGACGCTGGCGGGAGAAGCCGTCTCGAGCACGCCCTGCCCACAGGACGTCTTTAAAGCGCCCAGTGTCTCTCAACTCCGTGCTCTGTACAAGACGCAGCTACTCACACTCGCCTGCCCCTAACATCCACCATTTAACAAGGGGGGAGCCCGGTGCATTTATTATTCTTTAAATGTGCTTGTTGTTAATGTTATTATTCATGTATTATTCATTTTATTAAAATTAGTAAATATTTTAAAATATTATTGTCTAATATTATTTTAGTTGCAATTTTACGCAAATTAAATTTATTTTAATATTAAATTATTATTCATAAATATTTGACTTTATTGAAATTATTTTAAAATATTTTTTTAGTGATTTAATGTAAATGCGTAAATTCACGTAAAATTGTATTTACAATTAATTTTCATAATCATGTTAACAATTGTATTATTAAATGTATTTACTTATTCATTTTTTAAATTTATTATTAACTTTATTTGCTACTTAATGTTCTTCTGATATTCGTTGTGCGCAGCTGCAAGTTGACCTGCTAAGGTCGTGACGGGATTCTTTTATTCCATTCCTGTTGCTTTGTGCCCCCGGTACCGT